ATTACAAGAATGTACGTTTGGTTTGACATTCAACAGTCAATTAGTATAAGTCATCACATCCAAAGAATAAAGGAGAAAAATAAAATTATTTCAAAAGGTGCAAAATAAGTATTTGAGAGAAATTTAACCTCACTTGTGATTTTTTAAAAAAATCTTTTTAACAGCTTGAGAATATATGTTCATAAGTATATTAAAAATCCTATAGCAACTATCAAACTTCATGGTGAATATTGACAACTCTCCCCATGCCCCACCCAGCACCCCTGAGATTGAGGATGAGACAAGAATAATATCCACTATCACTACTTATAGTCAGCATTTGCTGGAGGTCCTAGCCACTGCAATTTGTATACCAATTTTAAATCTTGCAACCTTGCTGAATTTATCAGCTCTAGTTTTTTGTGTGTGGATTCCTTAAGATTTTCCATAGACAAGATTATGTCATGTGCAGATATTGTTTTGCTTCTTCCTTTATGATCCGGATCCCTTTTATTTCTTTTTGTTGTCCTATTGCTCAGCCACTGCAGTTTGGCAAGAGATAAATAAGGCATACAGATTAAGAAAGGAAGAAATAAAACTGTCATTCACAGATGACGTGATTATACAAAAATAATCTGCAAATTATTGTAATTTAAATGAATTACACAAGGCCACTCACTGGATAACAAGGTCAACATAGTTTTGTAGCAACAGAATCTGTAGATACTAGCCATAAACAAATATAAAATGCCTATTGAAGGATGTGCAAGAACACTTTACTGAAAACCACAAAAATAGTTCTAAGAAATATACAAAAGACTTAAAGAAGTGAAGAGATATACCATGTTAGTGAATAGGAAGATTGAAGATTTTAACCATGTCAAATGGCCCCCAAACCGTTCTACATAATCAATTAAATCCAATCAAATTCTAGCACTTTATTTTGTGGAAATTGACTAGCTGATTCTACAGTGTTTTATGAAACTGTAAAGGGCTTCTTTCTTCTGGAGTTGCCTTGTGGACAGGATTTGAAACAACCCAGGCCAGGTCTCTCTGGTCCACGGGAAGCACGCATATGCTTTTTGCTCTGACTACGTCTGTAGAGAACAGCCCAAACAACAACCTCCTCCCCCTCAGAGCAGGGAGCCTGCCAGTCTCTTGCCATTTAGATTTTTCAGGGATGAGTCAGAGATACCAGTCTACTCTGTCCTGCAGAAAAGGATACTTATCAACTTTTCCAAGTGGGCCCTAGAAAAGTCACTGCTAGTCAGAAATCTCAACTTGGAATGTGGGGGTGGCTGGCATCTATTGGGATGTCAGATGAAACAGAAACAGTTCCACTGTAGTAGCCTGCTCTGTAAACATACAGAGAACCCCTATTATGTGTGTGCTATGAAGCTATTAGAAACTACAGCTTTGTGGACTACTTCGAAAATGTGCAAGTGGGCTGGGCATGGTGGTTTACGCCTGTAATCCCAGCACTTTGGGAGGCCAAGGTGGGTGGATCATGAGGTCAGGAGATCGAGAGCTTCCTGGCTAACGTAGTGAAACCCCATCTCTACTTAAAAATACAAAAAATTAGCCGGGCATGGTGGTGGACGCCTGTAGTCCCAGCTACTTGGGAGGCTGAGGCAGGAGAATGACGTAAGTAAATCTGGGAGGCGGCGCTTGCAGTGAGCCTAGATCATGCCACTGCACTCCAGCTTGGGCAACAGAGGAGGCTCCGTCTTAAAAAAAAAAAAAAAAAAAAAAAAAAAGAAAGAAAGAAAGAAAAAAGAAAATGTGCAAGTGAAATAAGTGACAAAAAGCAAACACAAG